TGGTGAGAGTGGACATCCTTGTCTTGTTTCTGACTGTAGAGGAAAAGCTCTCAGTTTTTCCCCATTGAGGATGATTTTAGCTGTGGTTTTTTTTGTGTATGGCCTTTATTATGTTGAGGTATATTCCCTCTATCCCCACTTTCTTGAGGATTTTTATCATGAATAGATAATGTACTTTGTCAAATGCCTTTTCTGCATCTATTGAAAAGATCATATAGTTCTTATCCTTTCTTTTAAAAATGTGGTGTATCATGTTGATTGATTTGCGAATATTGAACCACCCTTGGAGCCCAAGAATAAATCCCAGTTAATCATCGTGAATGATTCTTTTAATGTACTGTTTGATGGGTTTGTTGGTATTTTGTTGAGAATTTTTGCATCCATGTTCATCAGGGATATTGGCCTGTAGTTCTCATTTTTAGTGAAGTTGTTTCTCTGGTTTTGGAATCAGGGTAATCCTGGCCTGAGAGAATGAATCTGGAAGTTTTCCTTCCTTTTCTGTTTTTTGGAATAGTTTGAGAAGAATAGGTATTAACTCTTCTTTAAATGTTTGGTAGAATTCACCTGTGATGCCATTTGTCCCTGGGCTTTTGTATCTTTGGAGATTTTTTATTATTGATTCAGTTTCTTTGCTGGATATCGGTCTGCTCAAATTTTCTGTTTCAGTTTTGGTAATTTATATGTTTCTAGGAATTCATCCATTTCTTCCAAGTTGTCCATATAATTTTTGGCATATAATTTTTCATAACATTCTCATAATTATTTCTATTTCTGTGTAGTTAGTTTTTATTTTTCCCCTCTCATTTGTGGTTTTAATTATTTGGGTTCATTCTCTTTTCTTTTTTAGAAGTCTGGCTAAGGGGTTATCAATTTTATTCTTTCAAAGATCCAACTCTTACTTTTATTGATCTGTTCCACTATTTTGGTTTTTTGTTGTTGTTGTTTGTTTCTATATCGTTTATTTGTGCTCTAATCTTTATTATTTCCCTTCTTTTGCTGGCTTTAGGTTTTGTTGTTGTTTTTTTCTAGCTGCTTTAGGTGTAAGGTTAGGTTGTTTCATTTGAGATTTTTCTTGCTTCTTGAGATAGACCTGTATTGCTGTATACTTCCTTTTTCCTTTTTCTCCACATCCTCACCAACACTTGTTATTGCTTGTCTTTTTAATAATAGCCATTCTTACAAGCATGAGACAATATCTCATGATGGTTTGATTTGTATTTCCCTGATGATTAATGATGTTGAACACCTTTTTCATGGACTTGTTGGCCATTTGTATGGCTTCTTTGGAAACAATGTCTATTCAGTTCCTCTGCCCATATTTGTTTTGTTTGTTTGTTTGTTTGTAGGTGTTTGTTTTCTAGGTTTTTGGTTTTGTTTTTTGTTGTTGTTTTGCTATTAAGTTGTGTGAGGTCTTTATATTTTTTGGGTATTAACCTCTTTCTCTTCAGATATATGATATGCAAATGTTTTCTCCCATTTTGTAGGCTGTCTTTTCATTTTTGTTGATGGTTTCTTCTGTGCAGAAGCTTTAACTTTGATATGGTCCTACGTGCTTATATTTGCTTTTGTTGTCAAATCCAAAAAATTACTGCTGAGACCAGTGCCAATGAGCTTACCATGTATGTTTTCTTCTATGAGTTTTGTGGTCTTATATTTAAGTCTTTAATCCATTTTGAGTTGATTTTTGTGTATGGAGTAAGATAGAGGTCCAGTTTCACTCTTTTTGCATATGGCTGGCTGTTTGGTTTTCCTGGCAGTATTTATTGAGGAGATTATTCTTGCCCCGTTGTATGTTCTTAGCTCCTTTATCATAAATTAATTGGTGGATTAATTAACCTCTGGGTTTATTTCTGGTCTCTTTATTCTGTTCCATTTATACATGTGTTTGTTTCTATGCTAATACCCTGCTGTTTTGAATGAGAAAGTATGATGCCTTCGGCCTTGTTCTTAGAATTGCTTTGGCTATTCTAGGTTTTTTGTGGTTCTATAAAAATTTCAAGATTGTTCTATTTCTGTGAAAAATGCTGTTGGAATTTCTATGGGGATTGCATTCAGTCTGTAGATTGCTTTGGGTAGTAAGGACATTTTAACAATATTAATTCAGTACATGAGCATGAAATATCTTCCACTTATTTATATCTTCTTCAGTTTCTTTTATCAAGGGCTTATAGAGTAGAAATCTTTTACCTTGGCTAAATTCATTACTAGGTATTTTATTATTTTTCATGCATTTGTAAATGAAATTGTTTTTTAATTTCTTGTTCTGATAGTTTTTTGTTAGTGTGTAGAAATGCCACTGATTTTTATATATTGATTTTATATCCTGAAACTTTACTGAATTTGGTCATTAGTTTCTGAGTTTTTTTGGTGGATTATTTAGGATTTTCTATATAAAGTTGACCCTTAGACAATGCAGGGGTTAGGGGCATTGACCCTCATGCAGCTGAAAATCTACAAACAGCATTTGACTCCCCAAAAAGTTAACTACCTACTGTTGACCAGAAGCCTTACTTGATAAACATAATATAAGCAGTTGATTAACACATATTTTGTATATTGTATGTTTTAAATGCTGTATCCTTATAGTAAAGTAAACTAGAGAAATTAAATGTTAAAAAAATCATAAGGAAGAGAAAATACATTTACAGTACTGTACTATGAAAACTTCACATGTAGGGGTGCCTGGGTGGCTCAGTCCATTGAGCATCTAGCTTCAGCTCAGGTCATGATCTCACAGTTTGAGTTTGAGCCCTGCCTTGGGCTCTGCACTGACAGTGCAGAGTATGTTTGGGATTCTTTACCTCTCTCCCTCTCTCTCTGCCTCTCCTTCCCTCATACTTTCTCTCAAAATAAATAAATAAACTTAAAAAAATATCCACATGTGGGGTACGTGGTGGCTCAGTTGAATAAGCATCCAACTTTGGCTCAGGTCATGGTCTTGCAGTTCATGAGTTTGAGCCCTGTGTCGGGCTCTGTGCTGACAGCTCAGAGCCTGGAGCCTGCTTCAGATTCTGTGTCTCCCTGTCTCTCTGGTCCTACTCCGCTTGTGCTCTCTCTGTGTCTCAAAAATAAATAAACATTAAAAAAAATTTTTTTTTTAATCCACATGTAAGTGGACCTGCAGAGTGCAAACCCATGTTGTTTAAGGGCCAACTGTATATCATCTGTGAATAGAGGCAGTTTTACCTCTTTCTTTCTTACTTGGAGACTTTTTTTTCTTTTTCTTCATAATTGCTGTGGCTAAGACATCCAGTACTGCATTGAATAAGAGTGGCGAAAGAGGGTATCCTTATCTTGTTCTTGTTTTCAGAGGAAAACATTTCAGCTTTTCATCATTGAGTATGATCTTAGCTTTGGGCTCATCATATGTGTCTTATTATGTTCAGGTATCTTCCATCTAAATCCAGTTTGTTGAATGGCTATTGAATTTTGTCAGATGCTTTTTCTTTATCTATTGAGAGGATGATACAATTTTTATTCTCAATTTTGTTAATATGGTGTATCACATTAATTGACCTGGAGATGTTGAGCCATTTTTTGCATCCCTGGAATAAATGCCACTTGGTCATTGTGTATGATCCTTTTAATGTATTGCTGCTTCAGTTGCTAGTATTTCGTTGTTGAAGTTCTTTGCATCTGTGTTCTATGATCATTTTAATGCATTCTCTTTTTTTATAAATTGTATTGATGTTAATATATACCTAGTGAGTTTCTCCATTTCACTCTTACTGTATCTTTCCCCCTAAGGTATATTCAATGCTATTCTACTATCAAATCCATTTTGTTTTGAACAGTAAAAAAGTCATCTTTAAACACAAGTATCAGTAATTAGATGACTTCTTGTGGTGTTCTTTTGTTTTACTCTTCATTTTTTCACCTTTTATGTATCATATACTTCTTAGTTTAAATATAAATTTAATCCTCTGTTTTTTCTCATTGTATAGAATTAATCATTTTACAAATTAATCTCAGATTGATTTATTTAAATAAATTAAAAATAATGGATGAATACATCTAAGATCTGCATTCTAGATCACCATCCTGTGTCTACTTTTAAGATGATTCTGAGTCATTCATTAACCAGTGCTCTTAAGATAACGTTAGCATCATTTTTAATACTGGTAGTCAGAAATGGTAACTGGCAACTGTTACTATTGTCTGTAAGACTTATCAATTTGCATGACTTAATTTCTTTCAAAGGGATCATATATCTGCCATATTGAGTCACCCCTTTATTGGAATAAAAAAATTATGCTAGTAATAGTAATTGAAATCATAAATCCTGTCAAGATTCTAGTTCTCCCACACAAGTTCACATGGTTATTTTGAGTTAACATAGCAGGCCTGAGACTACTATTTTTGGAAAGTCCTACTTACAAGGTTAGCCCTTGGTTGGCATCTAGGAACTAGGATTTCAGGAGGATTGCCACTGTTCCTTAACTGATGAAGAGTAGTTTACTATACCAAAATTATTTGAGCAAACAATATGGTTTATGCTGAAGACCTGCTTTCCTTCTGGGAGCCTGGAATTTTAGTATATCCTAGGCAGAGGACCAACCATGACCAACTCTCAATAAACACCCTGAGCATTGGAGTCTCTAATAAGGTTCATTGGTAGACAGCATTTCACATGTGTTGTCACAGGTTGTTGCTGGAGTAATTAAATTTGTCCTATGTTACTTCACTGGGAATGGACCCCTGGAAGCTTATAGCTGTTTTTTTCCAGACTTTGACCCCTACGCTTTTTCCCTTTGTTTATTTTGTTTTGTATCCTTTTGCTGTAATAAATCATAGCTGTGAGTAAAACTACATGTTGAATCCTGTGAGTCCTCCTAGAAAATCACCAAAGTCGGGGGAGATCTCAGGGACCCCCTTTAGCCTTGTGGCTATCAGATCAGTTTGTGAAATTTTGAGAAATATATATGTAATAAGATATATTATGTTTATGTTTCTCATAGGATATTAAGAATGAAATTAAATTTACCTTTCTTTGACTTTAGAGAAGTAACTGAAATTCGTGACATCACCAGAAAATCAGTTCCCCGCAATTCCTTAGAAAGTGCTGAATACATTAAAGTCATAACAGGTTTATTAAATGCAAAAGACTTCCGTGATCGTATTAATGGGATTAAGCAGCTTTTGTCAGATACTGAAAACAATCAAGAGCTTGTTGTTGGGAACATTGTGAAGGTAATGAACTGTCAAAATTAATTTTCATTTTCAATAGGTAGCTAATAGCTCATTAGTATAAAAAATTGCCCTAACTCTTAGTACTTTATATGTATTGTTTTAAAATGTTAAGCTTACAAGAATGAATTACTTTCTAGAACAATTCAAAGTAATTGGGAAAAATAAGAAAATAAAATAATAATATAAGAAAATGATGTTAGGGCGCTTTGAGATAGTCAGGTTGCCGTGGCCGATTAAAGGCCAGGTCACGATTCGCTGTCCTGCGGAGTTTCGAGCATCTCCGCTGCGTCAGTTTGGTTGCATGGCTCAGCGTTGAGCCTGTTTCCGACTGTGTGCTTCCTCCTCCTCTCTCTGCCTCTCTCCGCCATGCTCTGTCTCTCTCTGTCCCAAAAATAAATAAAAAACGTTAAAAAAAAAAAAAAGAGTTAATTAAAAAAAAAAAAAAAAAAGAAAACAGCTGCTTAATTTGTCTGAATTTTCCCACTAGATGGTAACTCTTTGAAAGCTCTGTATTCTCAGAGCTCTTGGAACCTGAAAGCTCTGTATTCTCAGAGCTCTCAGTGCATATATGTCAAGTGAATCAATAAATATTTTAAAAACCAGGGCATTTAGGTGCTCTGATATTACTTAAGAGTAGATATTAAAATTTTTATATGTAGATTAGAAATCTTATATATACTAATTTATATACCAATGTTAGACAACAAGCAATAGAAAAGAAGATAGTAATAAATGTTAGTGGTACCAGAGCATAGATGATTTATGCTTCTTCAGAGTTAATTCAGTTAATTCCATTAGTGATTTATTAATAAAATCCCATGTTAAATTTGTATTATGTGCATTAAACTTGGCCAGCATACCATTAACTACTCTTAATTCCAGTAATGTTGTCTCTTAATTTTCAGAAGAAAGGTACCATATTATCATGCGATGGGCACCAGAAAGTTGCATTTTCTGATATCTGTTGAGTAAAAATAAATCTCTTGGGAAGACTGTTCTCACCATGAAAATTTTTATTTATATATTAACTTTCATATTTTTATGAGAGATGTGTATATGTATATCAGCCTCATAGAATAGCTCTTCACTCACCTAATGTGACTAAAGATTTTGCTTATCATTCACTTTTTATATCTTAAACTTATGAAAGTTAAGAATTCTAAAGAGCAAGGAATGATTGTTAAACTAATCAGGTTAAAAGGTAGTAAAAATTTAACTCTGAAATTGCATATAAAATTCTCATAAGAAACCCAAACTGAAACTAAATCAAATCTCTGTGGTTGTTACATATCTAATTCTGTTATGAATAGTGATAAAAATGAAAACTTTCCTTGAGTTCTTAGAGTTAGCTAAGCTAACCACACCTTCCAAAAAATAACATTTTTATCACATTTACGGTAAATCAGTCATCTTCATACTAAGTCAAATTTCACAACCTGAATTTATTAGGATGTCTGTTTGAGTGATGTTTGAAGACCTGTCATTTTGCTATAAGAACATCCACATTTTTATAACATTCCTATTATCTATGTTCAAGTTAAATAAGATGTTGTGTGTATGTGTTTAAATAGTATATTAATAGGATAAATACTACAGAATGCCAAAAAGAATTTAAATAGCTATAAACATTATTTCACATTAAATTATTTACCAATTTACTTTCAGATCTTTGATGCTTTTAAATCTCGGCTTCATGATTCCAATAGTAAAGTAAATCTGGTGGCTCTAGAAACAATGCACAAAATGATTCCTTTGCTTAAAGACAACTTATCTCCTATAATCAACATGCTAATTCCAGCAATAGTAGATAACAATCTGAATTCTAAGAATCCAGGCATCTATGCTGCTGCCACAAATGTTGTTCAAGCACTGAGTCAGCATGTGGGTAAGAAATCTTACTTTTGCACTCAAATTATTTTGACTTTACTTTCATACTTTCTGTCCTACACATGATGTACTTTGTATAATGTTGAAATCATAGATGTTAAATATTTGTCATTTAATGTGATATTTTCAGTAGTTTAAATTATTTTTAGAGTTTAACACTAACCCATTAAATTGACTTTCTCTTGTTTTTGATTTTTCAGTCCTTTTATTCCTACCTCAACCTCACATCTGATGCAAAATTAACTCAAAATGGATTGTAGATTTAAATGTAAAACTTAACTGTAAATCTTTTAAGGATAACATAGGTAAAAATCCTTAGGACTTGAGGGCTTGGTGAAGAGTTGTTAGCATGATACTAAAAGCATGATCCATAAAAGTCAATAAATTAGACTTAATCAAATCTAAAAACATTTGCTCTGCAAAAGACCGGTTAAGTACATAAAGAGACAAACTACAGTTTTGGAGTAAGTATTTGCAAACCACATGTCTGAGGAAGAACTCAGAATACATAAAGAACTCTCAAAACTGAACATTAAAACAAACAATCCAATTAGAAAATGGGCAAAGGACATGAAGGAACACTTCACTGAAGACGATATATGGATGGCAAATAAACACATAAAAGAGATGTTTAACATCACTAGTCGTTAGGGAAATACAAATGCAGGTTAAGACCATGATCACTACACAAATATGTTCATCTGTTCAGGCTGCTTTAGCAAACTACCTACAGACTGGACAGTGTAAAAACAAATATTTATTTCTCACAGTCCTGGAGGCTGCAAAGTTCAAGATCAAGGTACCAACAGATTTGGTATCTGGTGAGGGCCCACTTCCTGGTTCCAGTGGAGCTTTCTGGGGCATCTTTTATGAGAGCTCTAATCCTATTTATGAGGGCTCCACCTTCATGACCTAATCATCTCCCAAAGTCCTCACCTCCAAATACCATAACAACAGGGATTGGGTTTCAATATATGAATTTTGGAAGACACAGACATTCAGTTTGTGTCATAGCAAGTATTAGGACAGCTAAAATTAAAAAGAGTGATAATACCAAATGCTGACAAGATTTCAGAGAAACTGGATCTCTGCTACATAAATAAAATGGTGTATCCATTCTAGAAAATGGCTTGTCAATTTCTTTAAAAAAAAAAAAAAAAAAAAAAAAAAAAAAAAAAAAAAAACTAAGCATACACTTAACCATATAACCCATCAGTTACATTCCTAGGCATTTATTCTACAGAAATGAAAACTTCCATCCAAGAAGTTACACTCTTGTTCATAGCAGCTTAATTTACAAAAGTCAAAAACCTCAGGCAACCTAAATGTAATTCAGTGAGTTAATAGTGAAGAAATTTATGATACATCTATACCGTAAAATAGTACTTAGTAATAAAGTAGTATTATAGATACATGTAACAATTTGGATGGATCTAAAAGGGCATTATGCTTAGTGAAAAAGGACAGTCCCAAAAGGTCACATGCTGTAGGATGGCATCTTTGTATAGCCTCAAAATGGTAACATTTACAGAGATGGAAAACAAATTAGTGGTTATCAGGGTTTGCGGGCAGCTAGGAGGGGCTGGATGTGACTATAGAGCGATAGCTCTGCGGAGATCTTTGTGGTAATAGAATAGTTCCATATGCTAATTGCAGTGATCATTACACAAATCTACACATGTGATAAAATGACATAGAACTATACACACGTAGGGATGCCTGACTGGCTTGGTCATTAAAGCATATGACTCTTGATCTCTGGGTCATGAGTTCAAGCCCCGGGTGTAAAGCTTACTTAAAAATCAACAAAGAAGGTGAATGATGTAGATTAGAATTATGCACAGGTATTGTACAAATGTCAGATTCTTTGTTTTGATATGTACTGTAATTATGTAAGATGTAACCTTTGGATGAACAGTACACAGGACCTTTTTGTACTGTCTCTCCAATTTCCTGTGATCTATAATTATTACAAAATTAATGGGGCTCCTGGGTGGCTCAGTCGGTTGAGCATCCGGCTTCGGCTCAGGTCATGATTTCACAGTTTGTGAGTTCGAGTCCCGCGTCGGGCTCTGTTCTGACAGCTCAGAGCCTTTGGAGCCTGTTTCAGATTCTGTGTCTCCCTCTCTCCCTGCTCCCCCGCCCCCGCTCGTGCTCTGTCTCTCTCTCTCAAAAATAAATAAGCATTAAAACTTAAAAAAATTAAAACTGAAAAAATCAGTAAAAATAAAAACTATCCCCTCCAAAATGTTGTTTTTTTCTGTTTTTTTATTTTGTTTGTCTTTAATAAACTTATATTCTATTTTTTGGAATAAGATGACTGGGAGATAGGCAATTCTTTTGCTTTTTTATGCCATATGATAGCTCTTTTAAAACTCTTATTTGAGGTATTTTATTTCTTATTTGCTATAAGAATAGTATTCTATTAAGGTTTTATAGATAATGTTAAGTACTGATTACATAGATTTAAAAATCTTTTTAACACATTTGCATTCATTTGTATATCTTTTCCTTTTAATGCTTTGTAATGAAAAGTAAGAACTCATAACTCTTTAAACATGTGTCTGTATTATTCTTTTTGTTTAGACAATTATTTGCTTCTACAGCCATTTTGCACAAAAGCTCAGTTTTTAAATGGAAAAGCAAAACAGGATATGACTGAAAAGCTTGCTGGTAAATATTCTTTAATTGCTATTTCTAAAGAAATATTAACTAAGGAAAAATGATAGGCAGTTCAATTTCTTTTTGGGATAGCTACCAAATTCAATATCATTACCCACAATGTAGAAATGAATTGCATAATGATCTATACGAGAACTTTTTAAGACTTTTACCCCAAATTTTTTTGTTTATCCTTTTTTTTTCCAGTAAGAATTTCTTCCTTGTCACATTTAAAGATAGACATTAAAATCAAATTGGTACTCATGAAAAACTGTTTCAAATTATTTATTTGATAAAAGATCAGTCAGTTAAAAATGTATGTTTTTTGGAAAACATTGAGATGAATTTGGGGTTTAATTCCTATCTTTACTAATTTTGCCTGAGCTAAGTTGTCCTATGTGGAATTCTAATACTTGAAGATTCCAATCTTTGGGAGAAAAGTTTCTGACCTTACCTTCTTTAAAATGCTTGACATTTTAAGACAAGTGACATAGAGAAGAAGCTTAGTATATTTTATATGCTGTTTAATTAGCAAAAATTGAATTTATATTTTTAAAAACCTGACTGTTTACTAAATTTTTATGTTTCAGATATTGTTACGGAACTTTATCAAAGGAAGCCCCATGCCACAGAACAGAAAGTATTGGTTGTTTTATGGCATCTCTTAGGGAACATGACAAACAGTGGCTCTTTGCCTGGAGCTGGAGGAAATATACGAACAGCCACAGCTAAATTATCGAAAGCACTTTTTGCGCAAATGGGTCAGAATCTGTTAAATCAGGCTGCATCTCAACCACCACATATCAAAAAGAGTTTAGAAGAATTGCTCGATATGACAATATGAAATGAATTATGAATCTTTGATGAAATATAGTATGATGAACAAAATTGTTTACATGATGACAAATGGAACTTTTTCAAGTTACATTTTCAGTGCCTGCACTACTCATCTGGTAAATTAAGTCAATGGCTATTTGTATTTGCAGCCAGTGGGCACACATCTGCTCTGTATCAACCCTACCACTTGTACCCATCACAGACAGAGAAACCTAAAATAATTAATATAACCTAATATTCATGAAATCTAAGGCCCATGGAATGAATCCAGTTATATTTTTGAGGAAAGTCCTGCTCATTTGCACTGTTCTATAGAAACCACAGTTCATTGCCCTATATGTACAATTAGATTTGTAATTAAAAATATACTTTTTATTATGTAATCATGTTCTGTCATTACTCAGCCTTATTTTATGAAGTGAAATAAGTCATTGAACTATGTTATCACAAACTAACTTTTGTGTGCTATTTGTGAAAAACATGTATTTCTGAAATCAGTCTGCTAATATGATTGTGCAGTATTAGCTTGCTTTTGCTGCTGTGTTAATGTGATATATTTGCTTACCATTTGGGTTTAATCATCTACATAATTGTGAAATTTAACAAGTTATAATGAAGCATGGTGACCAAAGTTTTAGAAAACACTTAAACATTTTAAATGCACGTTTAAGAAAACGTGTTGAATGTAACTTCCCTATTTTTGTGTGAAAACACTAAATTTTATTTCTATATGTCCTGACATTTATAAAGGTGTTATTTTGCTGCCCAGTTGTGTAATTCTCAAAAATAGTGCCAGGTCTTCTATAGGCTTTTCTCAGAATTCTTGGGCTATAAGTACTGTATGCATCTTAAAAAGAAAAGGAATGTTATAAAAATAAAAGGATTTATTTCTGTAGATATGTGAGAGGTGTCCTATTTTTCCAACTTCCAAATTTGTTAAAATAAAAAGTATATATATTGTAATACTGACCTATCATTTTCAGTTGGTATACTTGATAAAATACTGACCTATCTCTATTGACCTAACAATAGACCTGGATTATAGTTCTAGCTATAGAACTATAGGAAAATTAGGCATGTGATCTTGGGCAAGTCACTTACCAGTTCTAGGTCTCCCATTTTGTCATCTCTAAAATGTGAGAGCTGACTAGATGATTTTTAAGGTTCTGTTTTGTTCTAAAATTATATGGTTCTGTGTTGTAGTTTATTCAATGATCACTTTATTACAACTGTGAACTATCCTCATTCTTTTTCACTTCTTGTGTCACTAACTGGTTTTCTGATGTATTTGGCTGCATTTTAAATTGTGATTCTTTGTATTACTGCATGAGTGCTAAGAAGAAAATGGGGGTGCAGGGGGTTACAGCAATTTGAAGAGAAGCTGAAAGGAAAGACTTGGTTACTTTTTCTGTTTATGGGCATTGTTACATACATTCATAGTTACATATTTCTTAAATGCTTTATCTTCTAAGTGTATTTTATTATGTATCTATAGTTTAGGTCTCAAGTTGGCAAACTTTTTCAGTAAAGGACCAAAAAGTAATTACTTTTGGTTTTGTAAGCTATAGACAGATTGTGGCATATTCTTTGTTTTTTGTTTCATTTTTTTATAATGTTTTAAAAATGTAAAAAATATTCTTAGCTCAGGCCAGACAAAAACAGGCCTCTGGCCTAGTTTGTCAACACCTGGTTTAGACTCTTTTGACCTTAGCTGTAAATCTGAAATCGTCATTAAAGTTTGCTTTAACCCTTAATGATATGCACCATTGAAACAATAGTTACAGATTCCAAGTTTTATTAATTTTGACCATTGTCCCTGTGTCATTGCAAATTTGCCCCTACTAAATTTGCATTAATGTTGGATATATTGAAGGTAAATTTTAAATTTCAAAGGGAAAAGACCATTACTTTGTGTATAAGCTTAATTATCTCTTTTTTTTTTTGAGTTGATGTAGTTTGAATTCTGCACTGAAAAAGTACAGTAAATAGTCACTACTATTAATGTGAGGACTTTACATAATCTCTGTGCTGTCTTTTATTATAAAAAATTTTTTTAATGTTTATTTTTAAGACAGAGAGAAACAGAGCATGAACGGGGGAGGGGCAGAGAGAGAGGGAGACACAGAATCCAAAGCAAATCCAGGCTCTGAGCTGTCAGCACAGAGCCTGACGCGGAGTTCCAGCTCACCAGACTGCGAGATAATGACCTTAGCCGAAGTCGGAAGCTCAACTGACTGAGCCACCCAGGTGCCCCAGTGCTATCTTTTATTATAAATAAAATACTCATGTAACAGAGTCCCAGGCCTTAAAGATTTTCTCACTTTTAGTAACTTCTTAATAATGAGCACTCAGAAGTCAAGCACTCTGTTATCAAGAACTGTTATCAACCCAGAAGTCAACAAAAATTGGAGACTGATCACTGATTAAAAGAACTAATGCAGCCGAAGGCCTGAATAAATTGGAATGAAGGAATAATTATACAAGTAGTGATAATTATAAAAGTTTATCCTCACACTGTAACTAAAAAATAAAGAGAAAAATTTAAATGGCAGATTTCCCTAATGGAATCCATATCATATAGTCATTAAAAATGATGGGGCGCCTGGGTGGCTCAGTCGGTTAAGTGTCCGACTTCGGCTCAGGTCATGATCTCACGGTCCGTGAGTTCAAGCCCTGTGTTGGGCTCTGTGCTGACGGCTCAGAGCCTGGAGCCTGTTTCGGATTCTGTGTCTCCTTCTCTCTCTGACCCTCCCCTGTTCATGCTCTGTCTCTGTCTCAAAAATAAATAAACGTTAAAAAAAATTTTTTTTTAAATGTTAAATACTTTAATCACAGGACAAAAAATGTTAAATACTTTAATCACAAGACAATATCCATAGTGTGTTAAAGGAAAAAAGTCTGACTACAAAATAAATGCAGTGTCTCTATCAAATATATATGCATACAGAAAATAGAATTGGAATAATATACAGCAACATGTTAAACTGTAGTAAACTATGAGTAAAGAAGTTAATTTTTTTCAGTGTATTATGCAATTTCTATTTTTTTCAGAAATTAGCAATATGTGTTACTTATGTAATAAAATTTCAGTTACAATAGGTAAAAGTCTGAAGAGAATCTGAAAATAAAGATAATGTGAAGAGAAAAAATAAGGCAAAAGAGAGAGACAGTGAATTATCAGTGTTAAGAGAGGTAGAAATGACTAGAAGGGAGATGAGAAAGGGGAGCAAGATATTATGAAGGTAAAGAGCTTAAGACTTTGATTTAGAAAGCATGGATTTGGAAGCCAGTTTTATTATCACTTACCAAACCTTATGAATATTCTGAGCTACCATGAGGTCCAAAATTAAAATGGGATTAGGAATAAGAAAACATTTGTAAACTTCAAATTTTCCACAAAGATAATTTCTTGCCAGAAGCAAATGAAGAAAGATGAACACAAACCCTATAGAAATCTTGAGTGTTAGGATAAGCTAAACCTACTTATTTCATTGCTAGTTGGGGGGGTTGAATATATCAAACAAAGGCAAAATCAATTAAGTACTCAATTATCATTAATGATTTATGGTTTCATAAAGCATACTATAACAGAGAACCTAAATTCTTAATTCATAATTAAACTCTTTGGGCAGAACAATGGATAAGCAGAGACTTAAAGATTTTAAAGTAATTTACAGATTTATCAAAGTAGTCGTTAATATATATATATATGTATGTGTATATATATACATATACTATACATATATATACATATACATATGTATATGTGTGTGTGTGTATATACATATATGGGACAGCATTATGTAAAATGAAGACAGAATGATCTGGTGGTACCAAATTTTGGCCAATCCTGAATTACTTTTTTTTTTCGCCACTCTACCTGGAGTAGTACCTAAGCTGGATGCTAAATAAATGATATTTGAATAAGATGGTGAATGTTACATAAATTTGAAATTTATTCTGGAGACAGAAAGCAATGTTTTCAAGGGTGGAAGTGGTGTATTAAAAAATAAAGCAAAATAACCAGTAGCAGAGGGTTAGTTGGATGGAGCAAGGCAAGGGTGTAGGCAAGGAAGTCAATTTGAAGCACTAATCCAAAAGGGACAAATAAATCTCATCAAATGTTACAGTCTAATGAGTTGACAGTATCTGCCTGTGCAATGTGTTGAAAAAGTTAAATCAAATTTCAGTAGGAAGGAGTGTATTGATCTATCCAGGACTCAGAGTCAGACTCTAGATAGTAAAGTATAGTAGAAGCAGTGAGAATTGAAAAAATGGATCTGAAATGTATTGGTAACACGGTTGACTGAATTGATGACACACTTAGATTTGGAGGATAGAGGAGTCAAAATTAATGAAGTTTGTAACACTGGTGAGTTTCTCTAGAGCTTCTACTTTTTTTACTTAGGAAAGGAGGCCTTTTTTTATGTACTTCTAGCTCTATCTCATTGACCACCCTTAGATTCATGGGAAGCTGAGAAATTGAGTATTTCATTTCCTCGTCTCAAAAGTAGAGGAAAATAATAGGGATTGTAGTGGGAATAGATATGACTGAGCCAGTCAATAATATCTGTCATATTCTATAAGCCCCCATCCTGTCTGATGAACCACAAAGGCATTCTATGCCCCTGGGAACTGGTATTAGTTCAGAACCAGTGTCCAATCAATTCTGAAAAGCATATTTTTTTCCCCCAGTGTGAAGTTACCTTGATACGTAGCTAGAGATCCCTTTCATAGTGATATTTTCATAGTGATATTATTGCAGAATCCTTAGTGGTTCCTTCCCTTATTTCAAGTGGTCATGGGAACTAGGTGAGAAATTGTGATTCCCTTATTTAGAGTTGTTGTTTTTTTAAATACAAAACAACTAAGATCTTAGTATTTTATTCATCTATTTCGATCCCATGATCAATTAGATATTGCTAAGTATTGTTGCTCCTGGCTGGCTCAGTGGGTTAAGCATCTGACTTTGGCTTAGGTCATGATCTAACGGTTTGGCTCATGAAT